TTGCGGAAAGATGCTCTCCCAAACATTTCTTTTTTCGTTACCTTCAACCATGAGTGTAAACCATCACTGCAAGGGAACTGGAAATGTAAATGGTATGTACAACATCTCACAATATATATATATATATATATATATATATATATATATATATATATATATATATATATATATATATATTCTTCAGTGAGACACGTTGCATGAGTTTTATGATACAAATTCGATGCACAAACTGATAATTTTGGATGCCTCTTTTACAAATTGCAGTACCATTTGTTCGTTTTGGTTGCCTCCCTAAAGTCCCCGAGGCACCCCCAGCAAAACCTGAATAGTACACCAAAAGGTAGTACACACGGTACTGAAATATCCCCAGGACAGACTGCTGCAGCAACCGCAGCTGGTGTTTAGTTTGGCTGCCCGACACTGTTTCGTGGTCGACCGGGGACTATCTACAACTATAGTGCCATATCTGTCCAATCTAGGAGTATGTGTCCTCCCGAGGGCCCCCAGCAAGTTCCAAGCGGTGCTGTACCGAACCTAACTTTACCAGCTCCCCAAGAGCACCCTGGTTCGGCAACCCCCCCCCCCCCCCCCCCCCCCAGCGCTGCTGGTGAATTTAGCGCAATGATACTGTTGTTTCCAGGTCGACCGAGGCACACCTACAACGACTGTTGTCTCTGTTCATTTATTCATTCTAGAAGTGTGTGCCGTCCCATGGCTGCCGAGCAAGGTCTGAGCAGCGCCCTACAGACCCTAGCTTCTCCAACTTCTCCTGGGCGGATTGCCGCAGCAACAGCTGATGAGTTTTCATTTTCGATTGCTGTTTATTTCCTGGCAGAGTGCAGACAGTCACACACTGTTACTTACATCTGATCTTATAGTCTCACTGTTAGCCGCTTAACAAGACTAAAGTAATCATCTTTTTTTTTTAGGCACACTGTTTACACTTGATATCCGGTGGTATCGTCAGAATGTCAGTTTTTCTGGTGTAGTGATGAATGACAAAGAGCTACAAAGAACTATATTCAATGCAGATAAAACTGGTATTAGCGCAATGCCAGTTGCAGATCAACTTAAGTGTCTCGAAAAGCCAACTATGAAAGGGACTGCATGGAGTAAAGGGATCCTCGAGAAAGTTTTTAAGATTAATTTTTCTTGTGTTTTCCATGGGTTCAATGTGGTACTGGGGAATGGGGGTAGCTTTTGCCTGTAGAATGCAGACTTCATTGGCATGTACAGGACTTCAAGTTTGTGTCAGACATAATCCACAAGCTGATGGATTCTTTAGCATACAAGGTGAGCCAAACTTGCTGCACAGAACACACTCGTGCATCCTTATCTTAAGTATGCATCTGAAGTCCAATACCTGCAGATCCGTCTTATCAAGCAGCTCTATGTTTAATTCCATGCGGTTTGTACAATTTATTGTCTACAGGTGTACCGCACCAGTAACAGCATTAGAAGGTGTAAGGGCTTTAGAAGTATTTTATGATATGTAAAAGTGACTCGCAGCTGTCAGTAAAGCTACCCGCAAATTTGTGAAGTGTTAAGAAAGCATTTTGATTGTGAATGGTGCGTCTCCGTGTCATTTGTCTGCTTTTTTTCCTTCTGCGATTTCTTTTGATATGCACTCAGTGTGTGTTCTACTTGTAGTGAATGCTCCTGCCGTGGCCTTTTACTTGGCTTGCAGTTTTGTGAAATAAATAAAATTGTGACTTTGATTTTGTTCTTTTTAACATCATCTGTGCATGCTTGTGCATTTTCATGGAGATTTCGATCTCGCATTCGCTTATTTTGAATTGTTTTCTGGGTATGATTTGAATTATTTTTGCCTCATTTCCTTTTACTGAAATAACCAGCAATTGCTTGATTCGAGAACTAGATGCTGAAACCGAGCGCTAGTTTCCAAGTCTGCACCGGGACGCTGGCCCAGGGGTCTAAAAGCAGCACAAATCGTAATTAAACCTGTTTCTTTTTTTTTTAGTATGAACGAATAACAGATGAGATACAGACACTCTGATAAAATTAGGGAGTAACAAAACTAAACGAAAACGGAGTTTTCATTTCTTAAAACGGCTGCATCAAATAAAATAACGAAAATAGTATTTATTATACGCTCGGAAAAGTAGCGGCACCGCGTAGGCCTGCAGCGAAAAGCCCGCGGTGTCGCAAATGTTTACAGCATGCACAGAAATACGTAGCAATTTTTATCATTACTAGTATTGCAGGCAGCTTAAAAGTGCTAGCCTAGTATCAACCACATCAACACTTCCCCGATTAGAAAGAAAAAAGTATCTTGCTTTCTAGGCCGCCAAATTGTAGCGCCCGTAGGCCAAACCCTCCCGAAAGCTCGCCAAGGACAGGTATTAAAAAGTAGTCAATCATTTGAAATCGTGGAGATTACAATTGCAATTTAGGGTTTTATATGATTATTAAACACGACTTGCAATTATGTGAAGCCGAGCACTCACGAGACACTGACCTAATGCAAGTCGGTAGGGACGATTATTCAAAGCACTTTCGGGATTCACGGTTGAACGAAGAGATCTAGAGCGGCGTCAGGACGGTAGGATACGAATGCAGGCTCTAAATGAGGTCATTGCCACACTTAAATGACGAGAAACGTCCACACGATCGGCAACGCGCCCGCTCCAGCTGTGAAGCCGAATTAACCTCCTTGAGCCGAACACTCACGAGACACTGACCTAATGCAGCTCGGTAGGGACGATTACCCAAAGCACTTTTGGGATCCGCGGTTGGAAGAACATATCTAGAGCGGCTTCAGGAGGGTCCGATACGAATGCGGGCTCTAAATGATGTCACTGCCACACTTGTCTGACGAGAAAAGTCCACAAGATCGGCATTTCGACCGCTTCAGCTGACCGAGACGTCGAGACGCTTGGGAAACTCCAGAGGGCGCCTCCGTCGCAAACCGGAAGTTAGTGGTGGAGTAAGGAGGGTTTTTAGAGGAGAAGGAAAGAGAATGCGCCACTTTTCCCAGATACAGGGACTTTAGGCGTCCCAACCCCTGGCTCGCGAAGCTTCCGCCGGTCTGTCAAGCTGGAGGGCGATGTGCAACAGAACAGACGTCTGCCGCATCCAGCTCTAATGATGTCCCACCGCCAAGATCGTGACAGGCAAACAACATATGATACTTTTTTGACGTCGCTAGGCAGAAATTGAGTTACTAGTTTCGAGAACGCGGGAATCTTAGTAGTCGGAGACCTACTGCAGGCGCCATAGCATTAATAACATCACTACGTGACCACGAGCGTAATATTCGCGACTCCAGCGACCTATAGGGGGCGCCACCACCAAACAAACATGGCGGCTGAGTCCAGGTCGCGTCGGCTCGGCCGGGCCGCCTGAATGGGTGGCGCATTCAATTTAACAAATTTTCTTTTGTTGAATGCCCAATTTTATGGGTATTTGAACTGAGTTTGGTAAGTGTAGCCGGTGCGCATAAACTTGTCGAGCATAGTTTTGTTTTGCCGGTATTTTTTGTTCTTTTCATGTCAAACTTTCGTTTCAAAGACTTCGATCAAAGCCGAAACTATGGGCTCCGGAGAAACGTAATAGACTCTAATTAGTTCTGATCATCTAAGGAAAGCGGCGAGGGCTACAAAATTGTTCCACCGAGAGTAATTTCTAGCTAACTCGCATGCCTCGACCATGCGACTTATCTGTCCGCGAAATTGAGCTTTTGTGCCTGTCCGCGTTTCAAGAAACAGCTCCAGTCGTGTGCTCGGTCAAGAACGCAGGCTGTAGGAAAATCACGAAAATCAACCAAGCGCTTCTTGAGCCAAGGAGCATGTCAACTCGCTGGCGCTTCACTAAGCAGCTGATACTCGTATTCCAATTCAGGTTTTAGTAGCAATCGAGAAGTCATTTTGACGAATATGCGGATTATGTATTATATTACGTACTATGGGGTCCAACTAAAGTGATATTAGAATATCCTTCGGGTTGAAATATGAACTTAGTTGACTAACTATTAGGTGAACTGCAAAATAAAAGTATATTTGACAGACAGAGAGATACTACTTAAACTTAGCCAAATGGTTCTAGCCGGTAGAACGGAGACGAATGCGGACAAACTGAGGAGAGTCTTCATCGGAGATTCACTCAGACCTTTCTCATTGAACTTGACTTCGAATCCTGAACGGATAAAATGAGTATTTTTTGTGGCCGGTCAACCTGAGCAATGTAGACGTATATTGCTGCTGGCTTCGACAAGGGTTATTATATAAATATTGGAGGCGCCATAGATCCTAATGACGTGACAGCTTCTAACTTTGCGAGACGCGTCCCCCACCTTTTGAAAGCAGATAATTTCCTTTAATAATCACATGCAGCGAGCAGGTTTTCTCAATCGAGTAATTGCGAAATTAGCCCAACTCCTTCAATGTGGTCTTTTTCGGCGAAAAGCCGCCAACATGAATAGCGAACACACCGGCCAGCGTTAGTGGCTCAAATTAACTTGAAACTAATCGAGCACAACCAAACTCAAGGAAAGCAGCTATCGAACCTTCCCATTCACTTGACTGCAACATTGGTGTTTCCTTCAGTGAAACACTTCGTCTGTCGACCTCAGTCCACTGTTCTATATCCTTATAAAGAAACCACTTATCAGTTACCAAGCAGTCGTCACTTTGAATGTGATTAGAGACAGAAGAGAAACCAAAACGTTTTTCCGTGATTCCTCCTCATCCAAAAAATTGAAAGCACGCGACCGTGTGTTGTGGAGTAAACGGGCTTTCAAACACGTGACGGAAAGAAACAATCTACTGAGGCTTCACCACACTAATGAACACTCGGGCAAACTTAAGAAATTTTCGGACCTTCGTCAAATTACATTGCTCGCCCCCGCGCCGACAGCACGTGTCCGCGAAAGCCATCAGAGACGCGGCGGGGCGCGGAGCGACCTGTACCGACTGGTTCCCGGTTTTCCCGCTTGGCGGCGTCCGTTTTGCTAAAGTAGCGAATATGTTGCCACTTTACAGGTTCTACGACAAAGGTCACCGTGTCGTTGGCGTCGAAGTGGTGGAAGCTCCAGTTCGAGAATTTTTCGACGAGAACGCACTGCCCTGTGAAGAAAGCTTCTGTCCCGTGCTGAATCGCAAGATATTGCAGGTAAGCCTTTTGAAGCCTTTTCTACGCGAGTCGGTGAATCCCTCATCTTATAGACACGCAATCTATACCGCGTCTGTCTAAAAGGCCGTTGTCCCTTGAAAGGGACCGCAAAAAATCGATTATGGAGCTAAAAGTTTCTACATTGGTGGTCGAAGACGATGCGTTCGGTGCATCAAAATTTCAAATAAGGAGCTTACCGGAGTAAAAGCTATGTTTTATGTTCTAATTAGGAGCGTGAATTCGAGACCTACGCGTAGGCCGTTCCTAACACAATCACGGCCGACATTGGAATGTTTTTCTCTCTACACGAGCTTACTGGCACACCTGGGACTCAAGGATACTCACACGCAACGCCACTGGCCAAGAAACACCTTTGTTGCGGTGTAATTTCAAGGACAAAAGCGATCATTTTCATTCAATCTCTCCTTTGCAAAATTTAATGACGTAACTCGGGGATCGCAGTACACCCAAGTGACGATATTTGAATGCGGTTCATAGATTGGACCCGAGCATTGCGTGGGCACTCGACTTGGGCTCGTGACAATTGCTAGCTCGAGAAGCATTCGGGTTGTGACCCGTGTCCAATCGCTGCAACGACGACAACAGCCGAGCCATAACAATGTCTGGAACTCAGCGCGTGTCCTGCGCTTTGCCAACCCCAGTGCGTGGCTATGATCAACACTGGCGGCATATAATCGGCTCCAGATCACGTGGCCGCTTGTTCTGGCTGCGAGTTGAGGGGGTGAACGCTGCTCGTTTTTCTTTAATTTTTTTCTGGGACTTCTATTGCTTGGGGTGAAAAACGAACGCGTGTTTCATAGGTCATTAACGTTAGGGATCCGTTTTAAGCGGTATTTGTGCAAAGTACAAAAATTGTTGCATTGCTCCTTTAAAGGAGCAATGCAACAGTTTTTGTACTTTGCGCAAATACCGCTTAAAACGGATCCCTAATGTTAATGACCTATGAAACACGCGTTCGTTTTTCACCCCACGCAATATAAGTCCCAGAAAAAAATTAAAGAAAAACGAGCAGCGTTTACCCCCTCAACTCGCAGCCAGAACAAGCGGCCATGTGATCTGGAGCCGATTATATGCCGCCAGTGTTGATCATAGCCACGCGCTGGGGTTGGCAAAGCGGAGGACACGCGCTGAGTTCCAGACATTGTTATGGCTCGGCTGTTGTCGTCGTTGCAGCGATTGGACACGGGTCACAACCCGAATGCTTCTTGAGCTAGCAATTGTCACGAGCCCAAGTCGAGTGCCCACGCAATGCTCGGGTCCAATCTATGAACCGCATTCAAATATCGTCACTTGGGTGTACTGCGATCCCCGAGTTACGTCATCAAATTTTGCAAAGGAGAGATTGAATGAAAATGATCGCTTTTGTCCTTGAAAATACACCGCAACAAAGGAGTTTCTTGGCCAATGGCGTTGCGTGTGAGTATCCTTGAGTCCCAGGTGTGCCAGTAAGCTCATGTAGAGAGAAAAACATTCCAACTGAATATCGTTGCACAGCTCCTTTAAAGGAGCGATGCAACAATTTTTGTACTTTGCGCAAATACCGCTTAAAACGGATCCTTAACGTTAATGACCTATGAAACACGCGTTTGTTTTTCACCCCACGGAATAGAAGTCCAAGAAAAAAAATTTAAGAAAAACGAGCAGCGTCCACCCCCTCAACTCGCAGCCAGAACAAGAGGCCACGTGATCTGGAGCCGATTATATGCCGCCAGTGTTGATCATAGCCACGCGCTGGGGTTGGCAAAGCGCAGGACACGCGCTGAGTTCCAGACATTGTTATGGCTCGGCTGTTGTCGTCATTGCAGCGATTGGACACTGGTCACAACCCAAATGCTTCTCGAGCTAGCAATTGTCACGAGCCCAAGTCGAGTGCCCACGCAATGCTCGGGCCCAATCTATGAACCGCATTCAAATATCGTCACTTGGGTGTACTGCGATCCCCGAGTTACGTCATCAAATTTTGCAAAGGAGAGATTGAATGAAAATGATCGCTTTTGTCCTTGAAATTACACCGCAACAAAGGAGTTTCTTGGCCAATGGCGTTGCGTGTGAGTATCCTTGAGTCCCAGGTGTGCCAGTAAGCTCGTGTAGAGAGAAAAACATTCCAATTAAATATCGTTGCACAGCTCCTTTAAGGTCTGTCCAGTGAGGCATGATAACACCTATGTTTCCGAAGCCTCACTGGCACATAGTTAAAGCACAAAGTAGGCTCTAAGCGCCGCTGGGAGGCCGGGAGCTGCCCTAGAGCGCGGCTGCAATCAAGGTTACGGGAGCGCGCGCTTGAGCGCTGATCAAAGTTGTGCACGCGTGCTCTTTCCCCCTCTCTAGAAATGCACTGAAAAATGTCCACGAGTATAGACTTTGGTCGAAGCAAACTGGAGAAGCTGTCAGAAAAGAAGCAAACGCCTAAATCGTTTGGAAACTGTCGCGGAGCCTCCTATGCCATATTCCTTACGTCGTGCTTAAAATGCCAGATTCGCGTAAGGTGCTGCTTAATTCTCGGTGACTGGCGGTGAAAGTTGGTAATTATGAGTAGGAACTTTGGGAATCAGTAGAAAAAAAGCATAAATACAGCACTGGTCGAACACCTTAATGCCGACTCTCCCGGAGATAATGCCGCGGCATAAAAATCGCAGTTTATGAGCATTTTCTGGTTTATTAATTTGATTGCCAGGAAATCAATAATCTGCTGAGTTCTTCGCTAAGGGAATAGAGGACTTCACGCGATCACATAGCCGGGTACTTGTTGACAACAAGGTTCTTTCGTGGTATCTTCTTTTTATCGCGTGGCGCTTAGGAATTCATCGCGGGGCAGCTGGTGGGAAGGCACGCCAGGGTCGGTTTGCTCATCTTGAGGACGCGGCCGCGGCTGCGGCCAAAAGGGATTTTTCTGTCACGTGACCAGCTCCATGGGGCCAAGGAAGTACCTCGCATCCCTGCCTAATGGCGGAGAAATCCGTATCGCTTTAAGCACAAACGCCTAATTTCGCTCGCAGAAACTGACTGTGGGGACTTTCAACTGGAGTCTGATTGACCGACCCTATACACTGTAGGAGCGGCAGGTAAAGTTACTTCCAGGGTGGGTAAATTTGAGCCAAAATAAAGAAAAAAAAAACAACCACGCGAGATAAAAGCTGGGGCAGTATACCTCTTCCAGCGCCGATGGCTCGTGCCTTTGCCTGTGGTCGAGAAATTAGAGCGGCGGTACTTGACGTCGCGGCGTGAAAGTCCCGGAAGTAGCTCAGCAGACGACATACGAAACACGAATGTCCCAGTGGCTCCTCTCGTAACGTAGGAAGTCGTGAGAAAACTCCCTTCTGTGAATCGACCTTATCGATCGCCTTGACATTGGCAGTATAGCTGCGTTTAAACAACGTTCTGACTTTATTTGCCTACCCTAATGTGTGGTCCAACGATCGGACGCCATTCAAAACAAGCCAATAGGAGGAGGTCACGTTTACATGGTCGCCGCGGTACTTTCCGCACAAAACAAACAACCGATCCCAGCTGGATTGCCGAAGGTACGGAGAATATTGAAAGAGGCTTAATTCAGTCTGGCCACTTTGGTAACTATCATCAGCAGAATCTGTGGCATTTATAACGCTCTAACGGCAGCCTTCTTGTGGCCGATGAAGAAAGACGTTGAAGCTGTTCCCAAAAAAGAAGATACGAGACCTGTCCTGCATGTTCCAAACATAATGCAATCCCCCCCCCCCCCCACACACACACACACAAACACACAAAAAAAATCTACTTTTTTTTTTTTTCGGCAATGTAGCTTACACAACACTGAATTCTCTTTCCAACAGTTGTTTCAAACGTTTGAACCAGGTAATAAAAAGCTCCGAAACCTTAGCATCTGGTCCTAACCTCTAGCGCTGCCTTTGCCTGGAGAATGAGCGTTCGGCGATGCATAGTTTATTTTTACGGAGAAAACAAAAAACTGTGAAGATTTTTTTTTTTTTTAGGGACACCCGTACAATGCAATGCACGAACTAGACACGAATGTCGGTTTAGCGTTTATTTCGGACTCAGGTCCAAGCAATCTGCTTGCCCAAACTCGGCTCCCAGTAAAGTCACTTCTTGATGGAAATTTTATCGATTGGGTTACGAAAATGACGCTGCTTCGTTCTGGCTGTAGTTCTGTCATTCACACGATCAGAAATGAAACAAATTGATAGAGAACTGAGATAAAGAAATCTTTATTGTCTTCCAGTGGCGTGCAACTGTGGCGGTTCCCGATGAAATACATTTTCGTGACCACCATCAGTACGAAAAAAAAATGAAACTGCTGTTTAAGACACCAGATGGCATGGATTTTGAAAAGAATCTATTCGAGCGAGCAGAACCGGCCAAACTCATAGGAATAAAAGGGTTGTACTTGGCGTATCTTCAAGCAATGTTGGTTGACTCATAATAGTTTGCACTAGAAACAAAATTAAAAAAAATATATATATATATATATATATATATATATATATATATATATATATATATATATATATATATATATATATATATATATATATATATATATATATATATATATATATGCATCTGATAATAGGAAGCGACAGAGATGCACTTCCGTTTAAGGTTTTCGAGGTAGGATTTTGTGAACGCTGATATAAACAACAGAGATGCAATAAGCTGCAAAGGGGTTGTTGTGACCATGTTGGACAGCTTCTGTTTAGTGTGAGTATTTTTTTTTAATTCGCCATCTGTTATTATTAATTGTAAAATCAGATACGCTATCTTATTTCTGAGGTGTGGTCTGATCCATGTATCTTTTTTTCTAAAAATAGAGGACTAAAATGAGAAACAAGTTATTTTAGTTATATCATATTATATTATATTATAATATATTTATGACTTCTTGTTTTGGGAGTTACTTTTTCGTGAAATTTGAAGGGTATTTTTTTTTTACTTTTCGCCGAATATTCGGTGTTTATCGGAGTTTGTTTTTGTGAGATTTCCAGTTTCCTGAAATTCGAAGTTTATTTATTCTGTTTGTTCTTTTTTTATATTAGAAAAAAAAAATAAAGGCCGGGTGCCATGACCCGTTGTCTTGAAAGAATCAGGTAAAACGCTAAAACACCCTTTTGTCAGTATATAATTCTAGTTTTCAAAGGAAACTAAAGTGAGCATCTCCTCGAAACCACTGACCCTGTGCTCTTACAAGGCTTATTTGCGAAACCCCGTTTTTATTTTTATTTTGTTGCGAACTTGGAATTTAGAGTTGTTGTTTCTGTTTTTTGTTTTATGGAAAAAGCTGAATCGACTGAAAATTTACCGTCGGGTGCTTTTTCGGATGTAAACGAAAGAAACATACGAAACCCTACATTACATTGTACCACGGAGCTTCATGACAGATGGATTCTTCCGGGATTTTGTTGATTATGCTTATAATTCCAGTGGCCAGTTAATTTTACGATATCCAGTCACCGACGGCTCGCGAAACGCGGGGAATGATGTAGGACCCAGAGCGTCTCCATGGTCGCTCCAGAGCCACTGGGATTGCGCGCCCTTCCCGATAAGAATCCCAAAAGAACCCTCCAGCGAGCGAGGAGCGTGAACATTATAAGCCCCACCCCGTGTTTCTTCAACTGTCGGCAGCTTTATATACACCGACGCAGTGTTTAGAAAGAAGCCCGCTTTGCCCACACCAGATTCAACTTCGAGGCAAGTGAAGCGCTCTGCGCATGCGCGGTACCGACGGCAGCGCCACCGCAGTGGTGTTGCGTCGGCGAGTCGAGTTAGCCTATAGCAAAGACGTGTTCAATGCATCAATTTAATCTAAAAAAAAAACGTGTCGATTTTTTTTAGTGAAGCTCGCAGGTGATGGAGTAATAAAAAAAAAAAAAGAAAGCAAAAGCCGAGCATTTTTTTTTTTTTTTTTTTTTGCTGTGCAAGACCGGATGTTTGTCGTCTGCACACTGGTGTGCGAGCTTGCTCCCAGGTGGTCATTGTTCGTGTATTTCGTTCTAATGATCACATATCGCGGTTATCCTGCTCGCTGCCAGCCTCTACTAAACAATGTCAGTTTTTTTTTTTTTTTTTTTTTTTTTTTTTGCGTTTAACAAGTTATTTGGGAGCGAGCTCGCCATTCAGTGAGCAGACGACAAACCGGCTGGTATAGTAGATTGAAAACACAGCTGCCGTTATGATTCATTTTTAATAATTTACCACATCTGAGTATAGAGCTTTAAAAAAATTAAACAAAACATTTTGCAAAACGACGTTCGCGTGCCCATGCAGTCTCAGGCATGTACGTTTGGAATTCGAATTTTTGCGAAGGCGTGCCAAATGTTCTGGTCCTAATGGCCTCCCCCCGTATGCTTGATCCGACAAACATCGGGTCAATACTTTTTTTTTTCCCAACAGACACCAGACAAAAGGCTGCGAATATTCATCTGCAACATATTTGATTTTAACACGTAAGTCTTTTGTTTCTTTAATTGCTTGTTCTTCGGCTTTGTCATCGGCTGATATCACGACCAGGTTATATGCGTAGTGATAGCAAGAGACTCGGAACTCGCCACGCTCTGTGCTTCTCAAGTTGTCAGGCGCAGCAGTAATGTTAAAGCTCTAATGAAGGGGAAATGAACTAAGCTTACCACGGCTTTTTCCTTTCACTTCGTGCTTGTCGTGACGTAGAACTATGTGTTTCCTTCAATATACTCATATGCATAAGGTGGTACCTTTAATAATCGCGCAGGCCGAATATTTTCTTCAATCGGTGGGATTTTATGGCTGCAATCACTGGCAGGGTGACAATGGCAGAGCGTCTCTTTCGAATGCCTGGCCTCCGGCAAGCCCTCACTGCTTTGCGCCGTGCTTTCGCTACCCGTGCACGCTCGAGGCCCACGAGGCGCTGAAGTGTTATAAAAAATAGAAAGCTTTCCGTTTTTTTTTACCCTTTTACCAATAAACTAGTCGTCTATAGTTTTTTTCTTTTTCGAAAACAAGTTTTAGTGTTTTTTGTATACTCCCCGTATCTTTCCAACACGTAAAAAAAAGGTAAGCTTTTTTTTCTTTTACTTGGGAATTTTGCAGTCGCATACACCTTTTCATTTACTCTCGTCCCCAGCCACCTGGTAGATTTATTCGGTATGCGCGACGGAAAAGTGATACAACATTTCAATCTGCAATTAGTTTAAAAAAATGGAGATGAGACAAAACGAGAAACCTGCACTGCGTAACGCGAATACTTCAATGTCATGCCAGATCATTCTTGCTAAGTTCGTCACGGGGGGAATATGCGGCGCTGGCGGCGGCGCCGCTTTCGCTGTTCCAGCTCGGCTCCTCCCAATGATCAGACCCTCTCTACATACGGCTCTGGCCTCCCGCGGTTCGAAGCGCCATCTATATATATATATATATATATATATATATATATATATATATATATATATATATATATATATATATATATATATATATATCGAAAACTGTGTGTTCCACAAATTTAAGTCCCTGTATCTGGGAAAAGTGGCGCATTCTCTTCCCTTCTCCTCCAAAAAAAAAAAAAAAAGATATCCCCTTCTTACCCTGCCTCTCACTTCCGGTTTGCGACGGAGGCGCCCTCTGGAATTCCTCAAGCGTCTCGATGTCTTGGTCAGCTGCAGCGGATGGGATGCCAATCGTGTGGACTTTTATCGTGTTATAAGTGTGGCAATGAGCTCATTTAGAGCCTGCATTCGCACCCGACCGTCCTTATTGCCGCTCTAGATCTGTTCGTCCAACCGTGGGCCCCGAAAGGGCTTTGGATAATCGTCCCTACCGAGTTGCATTATCGGTCAGTGTCTCGTGAGTGTCCGTCCACCCTTCGGCTTCACAGGAATTGCAAGTCGGTTTTAATCATCGTATCAAGCCGCCAACTTGCAATTATATTCTCCACGATTTGAAATGATTCACCACTTCTTTTTAATACGTGTCCTTGGCGAGCTTTCAGGAGGGTTTGGCCTACGGGTGATAAAAACATTAGGTGCCCTAAAAAGCGAGATACTTTTTTTATCTTTCTAACCGGGGAAGCGTTGATGTGTTTGACGCTAAGCTAGCATTTTTAAGCTAACTGCGGTACTATTAACGACAAAAATCGCTACGTATTACTGTGCGTGCGTACTGTATGTATGCTGTAAAACATTTGCGACACCGCGGGTTTTTTGGTACGGGCTACGGGGCCTACACGGTGCCACTACTCTTCCGAGCGTAATAAACTATTTTCGTTATTTTACCTGAACCCGTTTTAAGAAATGAAAACTCTGTTTCTGTTTAATTTTCGTACTCCGTAATCCTATCAGTGTTTATCCTTTCTAATAATCGTTCATACTAAAACAAACTAAAAAAATCTAGGTTTAATTGCAATTTACGCTGCTTTTATACTCTTCGGCCACCGTCTTAGGGCAAGAAAACCTGATGCAGACTTTGGAACCAGCGCTCGGTTTCAGCACATAATCGAGTGCTTAACTTTTATACAATTTTAATGAAGACCTGAAAGTTCCCTGTTCAAATGTTAATATTCATACATATTACTACTTGTAGATGTATATAAGGGAGTCATCAAATTTAAGAAAAGAGTCACGCAATTGCAGGTTATTTCAGTAAAAGGGAATGAGGTAAAAAAATTCAAATGTCACCCAGAGAACAATGCAAAACAAGCGAATGTGAGATAAAAATCTCCATAAAAATACACAAGCACATATGACATTAAAGACAACAAGATCAAAGCCACAATTTTATTTATTTCACAAAACTGACAGCCAAGTACAAGGCCACGCCAGGAGTATATGCACTACAACTAGAACACATGCTGAGTACATAACAAAATAGATCACAGAACGAAAAAAGGAGATAAGTGACACGGAGACACACCATACACCATCAAAATGCTTTCTTGACAATTCACAAATATGCAGGTAGCTTTACTGACAGGTGCAGTCATTTTTACATAACATACTCATGATTGCCGCACTGGCTGCGCTCGTACTTATATTGAAACGGAGTATAGATACATTCACATTCTCGGGTCCGCAGCCGCGGCAGCATTGCAAGCTGTGTGTTCGAAACAAAGTATAGTACGCGAGCACGTACGCAACATTTGACGAGAGCGAGTACTCCGCACGCACCCTTGGGAGCGACGCCGATGCCACAAGCACGAGCTGGCCGTTTTGCGCTTGATAGAGTTTCAGTGCGTTGCGACTGCGTGAACGCAGGACATCTATACTTCTTTTGTCGCGTTCCAAGCGATTGCTTGAATGGGATTTCACGCTGGATGCGAAGCACAGCTATGTGCCGGTGACTCACTTTTGTTTCTCGACGCAACGCAGTCAAACGCTCTCAAACGCAACTGTGCGTAGGGGCCTTTACTTCCACGGCACGCGCGTCCGTGCATGCCAAGTTGGCAATGTTGTGCTCGCTCAGTCGCTTGCGCGTTTGGTGGAAAGGAGTGCATAGCTCGCTCTAAACAGCTGTATATTTTTGCATGCTGCTGAGCTTTATAAAGCACACACCTCGCATAACTTGGCGGCTCCCGTCGGGTTGGAATCTTTTCGACCGATTCAGTGAAGCAAGATCTTGCTCCGAGGTTAATTTTCGTTCCAGAGGGAACAACATGAAAAGCTTTCCGGCCGATTTTTCGTACAGGCGCAGCAGTCCGTCAGTTGCGGCGTAGAAGCATCTAGGGAAATTTATGGCGACCGAAGGCCCAAAACCGAAAGCCAGGTGTGATGTGACGACTGGCCAATGGTGTGCGCGGAGGCTAGTTCAAAGAATGGCGCCACTTTTTCCTGGATAGAGGTGCTTTACTACAGACCAGAGCCGTCAGACTAATGTCCCTGAATAAGAAAGATAGCGACATCTTCTCCCTCCTCCTCTGAAACGCGCACCTTTTATCTTTGTGCTTTGCCCTTTTACACCCCCGCGTCGATTGTAGCGTCGCCTGGATCGCTCCAAGATATCAGACGGCCTTCCTATACTTGAGTCAGAGCACAGTCAAAGGCTGAAAGACACGCAAAATACATACACACAGGCATAAAAACGCACTGTCACGGTCTACCAGCCTCAAAGAATGCGCTCAAGAAAACACGGTGAAAGCCGTGACGTAGCACAGTAGGCGTTATTTGATTGGCAACATGAGCTGGCAGCTTGCAATGCACTCCGACAGCACAGGCATTCCTTCTCCCTTCTTGTCCCTCATGCACACTCTTAAGGGGTATTCACACGAGGGAGAAATCCCCGGGATTTCTCCCCGGCACGCGCGAATCACGAGATGAAAACGCGAGGCTTTTGCACATCGCAAAGCCTGTCTTTTTCGTCGTGGGATGCGCGTGCCGGGGAGAAATCCCCGGGATTTCTCCCTCGTGTGAATACCCCTTATCGTTATATTTTGCTATTTCGCGCTCGCGCGTCGACGGTAGCGCCGCCTGGATCGGTCCAAGATAGCAGGCGGCATTCTTCAAAGGATGTTGCTACTTTTCTGTATACAGGAGCTTTACGTCAGACCAGAGCCGTTTATTGAGAGAGTTTGGCCATACATTGGTTTGAATAGGCGAGCATCTCGGGGCCAACCACAGGCCGCGAAACAGCCCCTAGCGGTGGTCGTGTGATCAAAATATGTGACACGACTATACTTCGTTTCACCTTATGTGCGAGCGAAGGCATAACTGGAAGTGCGAGCACGGAAGCTCCGCGCGTTCAGGCTTTGCTCGAGCGCGCGAGCTGGGGAGAAACGCAAAAAGCGCTGGTCTCGCGCTTCTAGCTTTGGCTTCGCTCGCAGATAAAGTGAAACGAAGTATAATTTGAGCCGTGCCGAGCGGAACTCCGCGTCTCAAGACGCTCGCGCACCCCACCCTTTGCACTGTTTTCTTTCAGCCAGTCTCAGGACGCTGTTCTAGCAGTGCAGACAAAGGCATGGGCACGAGCGCGTGGCTTTGGAAAGTGCCTCCTATGCACGAGGTCTCGTACAAACAAAAGCGTTTCGCTGAGCTAGGCTCACGCGCCTGTGCCTTTGTCTTTACTGCAGACATGTGTGAGATAGAGTAGAGGTATCCTGATTGGTCGACGCATTGTCACAAATTTAGTTTACGCTCTAAGCGTGGGGGGAATATTCGGCGCTGGCGGCGGCCTATGCTCCGCCTATTGGCTAAACTCTCTCAATACACGGCTCTGCGTCAGACTACCGTGAAGAGCCATCTAGACGCTGTGCTTCGAAACATACGTATTCCATAGTTGCCATAGCAGCCGTCCCCCAAACACGGTGGTACGTCGAACGACGGGAGGCGAGCCGTGGGGGGAGAGGGTCGGTACTGCTCGTGCGAGCGACGTCGATGGGCGGTTCCGTAACTGAGCTAACCTATTCACGGTGAGGAGCCTGGTACGGGCGCTTCTGTTTTCCTCACTACTGGTAGTGCACGTACTACCCACGTGGTTGTGTTTTAATTTCCATAGTGCATAGAAGCTTGGCACTGCACGTCCTTGCACCAGCGGAGGAAGCTGAAGTATCCCCACTCTGGGTTGTGAAAAAATTCCACCAGTCAGCGGTACCAAAACTTCTCGCCGCGAATACTTCGTCTCACCTCATCATGGACAAACTGCGAAGGCTGTGGAAGCGCGGGCGGGTGGCCTTGACTGCTTTGACTGGAGCATTCACTGCAGGAGCGCTCGTGCAGTTGCCGAGGCTTCATCCGAAGCAAATAGCTCGCGCTTTTAGCATGCGCGGCTAACAATAGTTAGTGCTAAAATGAGCCGGAGCTTTTTGTTTTTTTTACTAGCGTTGGCTGGTGGTCGTTCCTACTAAAGTCGGTTGCAAGCTAAGAAAAAACCGGAAATGCCTCTCAGAGGAAAATGTAATCCTACGCCGAGAGACGCCAGCCAATCGTTTTCATGACGTCACGATTCCGTGGACCAATCGCGATCCTTTTGAAAAAAAAAAAAAAATAGCTCAACATGACTGCTGGCCTTAGCAACGCGGCGCTAGTTTCTCGTGACAATTATTCTGCTTTTTTGCACCGTGTTTTACGTGCCCGAGGTTACGCCACAAAATCTTAATGGTATTGGCTTGCGTTTGTAGCATTTTTTGCGCGACAACGTGAGAATCCAGCGACGCTATCGCCAACGAAAATTTCGAAGCGGGCGCGAGGCTTAGCACTGCTGAGAGGTATGTTAGACGGTATGTTAGACAGTATCTTGGACACAAAATGAATTGGGAAGACGGTATACATTGGACATGACTTTCTTTCTTTACTAAACAGCTATTTCATTGACAAAAACGTATTCTAACTTATTTAAATGTCCTGAATGAATTAAATAAATATTGTAGTAGTTTAAGACACGTTTCCTGGAGGAAGAAAAAGCAACGTTGCTAGCGAACTACTTTCTCGACGGCGGAGGCACTTCAGATGGGCGCAATGCGCTTGTGGGTGGAGCTAAAAGATTGTTCTCAGGTTGCATCCGACTATAGTTATTTATAAAAAGGAAAAGATTCAGCGGTGCCACATGTATGCCACGTGCCCAGCACTGCAGCAAGGCACACCAGCACAATGGGTGCTGGTGTGACGTCGATGCAAGCCATGCATTTGGGAAGGAGATACAACTGGCCACGCCCCTGGCGACTTGGTTCAGAAAATATGCCACAGGGACAACGTAAATTATTTGTTTACGTTTCTTGAAATAGCGCTTGTTTGATGTGGCTGAAAGCTGCGTAAGCGTTGACTAGGAACTCGCGTTCAATCAGCAAAACACTCTTTGAACACTACTCCCAACCAAAAACTGTCACGGTATTCGTGTACAATTTGTCACCCGCGCTCGATTGAAAGTGACGTAAAAGTCCAGTCCACAACTGGCTTGCGTTGGGGGAACACGGACTCCGTGGAAAACAGACAGGACGCATCTCCTATGGTTCGATCTCCTCGCTAATGATCTGCCAAGGTGACGAACAGACATCGTTTAACGATCATTACGTGACTCCTTTTTCTGTCTTTAGGTCTTGCGCAGGTCCGATGGACATCGTCTGGGACAAAGGAGGCCTGATCGCAGTCGGCGACGCAGACGCCCCTAGGCAAGTCACTGACGTCATTTTTACTCGCTAGTGAGCTGCGGATGCGCCCATATTTGAGATGATGCATCAGGTGGCAGGGATACAATTATTTCCGAAAACAAAAATTTCCAAACGACCTTTCAGAATGCTTCGCTATTGTCAGCGGGAGCGGTTGCGTTGTTGATAGACGTGCATTAAGAGACTTGCTTCTAGTCGATGTGCTTTAGAATATTTGCTTTAGGAGCTTTGCTTTTAGTGAAATAGCTGCGGGAGATGCGCTTTCCGAGATATGTGAAAGGTGCCTCTCATGCGGGATAGTTGGGGTTCTGCGGCCTTTGCTGTTCTCGTGCCTCTGTGTCCGTGCGTCTACTCTGCTCAGCGCGGCGCCTTTACCGTTCCCACTTGGACGGAGAACGGATATCACATGGTCTGGCCATGTCTAGAAGGGAATGAGGGGGGAGGGGGGGGGGGAGAGAGGGAACTTAGCAATATTCTAATAAACGCGCCTTTAATTTTTGTTTTTTTGGTAGGCGCGTTTTTCTTTTCCTTAATTTTTTTGTCGGCAAGAACGAGGAGGGGAAGGGGCGAGAAAGAGGGAACGACAGCACGTCTTGCCATAGCTGACGAGATGTGCGAGGGGCGATGGGGAGAGAGGGATGGAATCTCTGGTCGGAAAGTGTCTCTAACAGCTAACGCTGTTATATAGCTTGAGCTTAAAAGTTTCATAATACTGTAATTACGGTAATCTGCGTGAACGATGAAGAGGGATGTAAATTTAACGCGGGGCTCAAACATTAAGATTCACGCACACTAAAAATTGTAAAGGCACGATGAGTGGATCCAAAAGAGTTCAACGGAAGGCAACATCTACAATCTTGTTGCCCTGGGTTCAATTTTCTTGCTATTGTATCTCGGTGTTTTGTTCAACATGCGACAATGCCGTATGTTTCTGTAATATGCGTGCGCTTCAACTAAGGTTTGAAAATTTTCAATATCTACGCACTCTGCCTAACCATGCTACGTAAAGAAAATTTTCGATGCAAATAAATAAGTTACATTTTGATTATAGTTTAAATTCCATCTTCTCAATACTTCCTCAGAAAAAAAGGTAGGCTATACATAGCAAACCATATCTTTTCAAGGTTCAGCTTAAATATAAAAAAAAAAAAGAAACTTCTCTATATAAAAAAATACACCGCATAACGGAGGTACTCACTCGCGTATTCCTTCGCTATCTGAAACACTTCAAACAATATTGTGTCAAAAATAATGTAAAAAACAACAACAAATACGACGGTTTTTTAAGCTACAGATTGTACCATGTATGGTTCTACCTTTCCACGGCTTTGAGATCTCATTTCTTGCTTTTCTGCATCAAATAAAGAAACGCTTTTAAAATGTCCTGATATCGTAACATGCCTTCTAGTGAAAAATGACACGAATTTCGTGAAATTCCTGCAGTTCAATTACGTTCCGAAACTAACTGGGATATATAGACCTTTCCAGCGCTTCTGCCCCAGGCGGAAAATGCCGAGTCACTGCGCTGTGGTCTCATATGCGCGGCGGTTCGAATTACGCGGAAGAGCCCAACTGCGCATGCTCAGAACGCCTTCAACAGCCCAGGGGACAAATATGGCCGCGCGCAGAGGGCAATTTTTGGAAAGGTTCGTCAGGACTCCCGAAATGTCTCAATCAATCTGTCACAGATTTGCAAAACTTTCAGCGATGGTAAGTAATATAGCGGTGTGAGAATCGCGCTCGTAGCTCCTGCAAGATCGACGTCAGAATGAAAGTGCATGCTTACACGTTCCTGCCGTGGAATCGCGAAGTAGGGCTCTTATATCGCACACATTTTACAAGATGAGACTTTCTCACGCGTCGTAGGCCCAAGTTCGTACTGCTGTTCTACGACGATCGTCCAAATAACAGTCACTTTGAAAGGAAATAAGTGCGCATGATATAGGCCGTGAAAGTCGCGAATGTAATTTTGGGTTGTCGCAAGGCCTTGGATGATGGGCGCCCTCTAAATGAACTATGTTAAAATAAAACAGTCGTCGCCTGCGCAGTACACAAATATCGCCCTATTGCAGCTGGAAGGGGTGGCAAAGTAGCTTTAATATTTTAGCAGGTAACCGTTTAAAAAAAAATGTGTAATAATTTAGTGCCCATTTGTTTGTAATGGAGTAAAATCTCACCTTGCCATGCACTTACGTATCTAAAAAACCTAGTTTGTAGTGTGAAGGCCGGTTCTCACAGGCAGCGAAGCGCTGATGTAGCGCTGCTCAGGTGTCTTCAGCTACATATCGTCTGGCATGAGCACCAATTTTGACGGTGTGATACAAAGCTGGTGAACACTTCCGTGAGCACGCACTTAGCGCGAATTCAACGTTATGCTTAGAGTGCCTTCATACACACGCGCTCTTTTGCGTGAGTGGTGACATCTCAGCCATTTTTCCGCCCGATCGTTTTTTTATGCATTTTGAAGTGCGCGCAATCCGGTGTCACTCAGCTCGAGCGCGTAGCTTTGGCTAATGCATAGACGCCATTTTACCGCCCAAGTCACGCACCGAGTGCGCGAGAACGTCACGCGCTGGCACATTCAGGGCAACAATGGATGTCTGCTTGTAACGCTGCGCTACCAAGCCGATGGTATAATCAATAGTAAGAAAAATTGGCATAGGCAATCGGTGAGAAAATTGGTGAGTGAATGGACCCTTTTCGAAACTCAGTCCGACCCCCTCGATAGCTATCATCACATCAGTGTGTATGTCAGGTTCGTTCGGGAAGGTGAGAGAGAATCATGGAAGCCAGAGCCAGCGGGAGAACTCAAACGTACTTTACTGTAAGAAGAAAAAAAAAAAGAAAAAAAGAAAAAAAAAACTGGAATACGATCAGCGTCGGATAAATGAAAAAAATATTGCATTCAAAAGTTAAGATATATACTGTCAACACAAATAGTCATCACCCTGTATAGTCACCATGGGCTGTGGCGGGTGGATCGTCGTTGGGCGGATCGTCGGAGAATGATGTCCGGCCCGCTGGTGCCCTTCGGACCAGCTGACGATGCCGAGCGCGGTGATCCAAGCTTGGCGGAGTCGTTTGCGAGGACGGAAACGTAGCCGACCGGTTCAAGCCTGGCGGAGTCGATTTCGAGGACGGGACATAGCCGACCCGAGCTCCGCAACCCCAGAAGACAGCCGTCAAATCTCGCGCTTCGTCGGATTGCTTCGAACCCTTCTCGCGCCTCCTTATTCTTCTTCTTTTTTTCATGCTGCCACAAATCTCTCCTTCGTTCCTTTTCTTTTTCCTTGTCTTATAAATCATGACAATACCCCCGAACTACGAGAAGTTTATTCCCAGAAACTTCTTTCTTCACCTTATCTTCTGCCCAGGGAATCCTTCCGTCATCGTCGACCCAAAATTGAGGCATGTAATCCAGCAGTTCCGCACCTCGTCTTCATCGTCAACTTGGCCACGCTGAACTCTTGCAGGAGTCACATTTGTTTGGTTGATGCACCATGCACAGCCACACCGACGCGACTGCACGGTACCGTTACACACACGCACGCGCGCACACAAAAGGAACGTGTTTTATAAAAAAAATGAAACAGACATGAAAAATATACAAAAAATACAGATTGGGCATTCGATACACTTGATTTTTATCAATTAGTTGCCACCTATAAAGCAAAAACAAATAAATAAAGCCTAAACGCGACTTAAATAGTCCGCTCCAACGTTGTCTCTACCTTTTATGTATTCTACACTGAACGTGTGGTCTTGTAGAGCCATGCTCCACCTCATTACTCGGCTGTTAGTGTGTTTCGCCTTGTTGAGGAACTCTAGCGGCTGGTGATCAGTCTGAACGCGGAAGGCTTTTCCATAAAGAAACAGCTTAAACCTAGTGACTGCCCAGACCAGTGCGAGACATTCCTTCTCTACAGTAGCAAAGTTCGTTTCGGAACTACTGAGTTTACGACTCGCGTATGCAACCGGGTGAAGTATTCCATCTCTCTCCTGTAGTAAAACTGCTCCTAAGCTTGCTTCAGAGGCGTCCGTGCGCAGCACGAATTCCTTTTCGGGGTCCAGTGATAGCAGGATGGGAGGTTGTCCAAGTCGACTTTTCAACTCCGTGAAGGCCTCCTCTTCTCTTGGGCTCCACTCAATATCATTGCGGGCTCCCTTTTTCGTTAGATCCACTAACGGCGCTGCGATATCTGCGTAGTTTGGTACGAACTGTCTATAGAATCCCGTAAGCCCGAGGAATGACCGAACTTGGCGCTTCGTTTTGGGTCTTGGTGCGTCTTGAATCCTTTCCAGGATCTTTGGGTCAGGAGCGATATTCCCCAGTCCAATTTTATGTCCTAAGAAGTTGATTTCGCTGAACCCTATTTGGCATTTATTTGGTTTGATCGTAATGTTGGCTTCGCAAAGACGCTCAAAAATCGTCCTGAGTGTTTCCACATGCTTCTCCCACGAGCTCGTCGCGGTCAAGATATCATCTATGTAGTGATATGCATCTTGAATACCGTCTAGAACCTTTCGCATTAACTTGGTAAAAGTAGCAGAGGCGGTCTTGAGGCCAAAGGGCATATATCTGAACTGGTAGTGCCCGCTTGTTGACGAAAACGCCGTCTTCTCTTTTGCGTCTGCTTCCATGGGAATTTGCCAGTAGCCCTTAGCTACATCTAATTTAGAAAAAAACCTCCTGTGTCCTGCTTTAGCAAATGTCACATCAATTCTGGGTATTGGCTCTACATTTGTCATTGTCGCGTCATTCAATCGTCTGTAGTCGACACAAAATCTGTTTGATCCATCCTTTTTCTTCACAATCACGACCGGAGCGTTGTACGACGATGTACACTTCTCAATTACCCCCAGCTCGAGCATCTTGCTGATTTCATCCTCGACCACATCTTGTACTGCCAGAGGTATTGGGTACTGCCTCACGTATATCGGCCGCGTTGTTGTGAGATGAAGATCACACGTCATAAGGTTTGTCCTCCCGGGGACATCAGAAA